GATGATCGTGCACATGCACTTTTAAAAATTCTATTGATACAGTGTATTACACTAATTGATTTTTAGGTGTTAAAGCAACATTGCATTCCTGGGAAAATCTCACTTGGTGGGTGATAGTATATTTTTTTTTTAATTTTTTAATTTTTTATTGTAATAAATATATATAACACAAAATTTATCATTTTCAACATTGCATTCCTGGGAAAATCTCACTTGGTGGGTGATAGTATATATTTTTTTTAATTTTTTAATTTTTTATTGTAATAAATATATATAACACAAAATTTATCATTTTAACCTTTTTTAGGTGTACAATACATCACAATGTTGTGTAACCATCACCACTATTTCCAGTACTTTTTCTCATCCCAAACAACAATTAAGCAGTAACTCCTCATACCCCTCTCTCCTCAGCCTCTGGTAACCTCTATTCTACTTTTTGTATGAATTTGCCTATTCTAGATACCTCATACAAGCGGAAATATACAATACTTGTCTGGATTATATCACTTAACATAGTGTTTTCAACATTCATCCATGTTGTAACATGTATGAAAATTCTATTCTCTTTTATGGCTGAATAATATTTCATTATATGTTATACCACATTTTCTTTATCTATTCATCAGTTGGTAGACACTGACTTGGGTTACTCCCACTTTTGGCCATTGTAAAATGGTGTTATAAGTATGGGTGTACAAATATCACTTCAAGACCCTGCTTTCAGTTTTCAGTACATACTCAAAAGTGGAACTGCTGGACATATGGCAATCCTATTTTCAGTTTTTTAAGGAACTGCCATACCACTTTCCATAGTGGATATACCATTTTACATTCCCACCAACTGTGCACAACAGTTCCAATTTCTTCATATCATCACCAGCACTTGTTATTTTTCTATTTTTGATAGCAGCCATCCTAGAGGGGGTGAGGTAGTTTTTCACTATGGTTTTGATTTGCATTTCCCTAATGATTAATGATATAAGCACCTTTTCATGTGCTTGTTGGCTATTTGTACAAGGGTATTTCAAAAAGTTTGTAGAAAAACAGAATTAAAAGATAATATGAATCATATTGTGAACTTTTTGAAGACCCCTCATATCTTCTTTGGAAAAATGTCTATTCAAGTCCTTCGCCCATTTTTTAATGGGTTGCTTGTTATATGATTTACAATTATATTCTCTCATTCTGTGGGTTATTTTTCCAGTATCTTGATAGTATTTTTTGATGCAAAAAAAGTTTTTATTTTTGATGAATTCCAATTTGTCTATGTTTTTCTTTTATTGCCTGTGCTTTTTACATCACACTTAAGAAATCATTGCCTAATCCAAAGTCATGAACATTTCCCCCCATATTTTCTTCTAAAAGTTTAATAGTTTTAACTACCAAATTTAGGTCCTTTATCCGCTTTGAGTTCATTTTTACATATGGTACAAGATAAGGTTCCAATTTCATTCTTTTGCATGTGTATATCCAGTTTTACTAGCACCATTTATTGAAAAGACTGACCTTTCCACATTGAATGGCCTTGACAACCTTGTCAAAAATCATTTTACTTATGTGCAGGTTTACTTCTGGGCTCTGTATCCTATTCCACTGATCTATATGTCTGTCTTTATGCCAGTACCACAATGTCTTGATTACTATAGCTTTGCAGTTTTAAAATCACAAAGTGTGAGTGCTCCGACTATGTTGTTTTATTTTTTTTCAAGATTATTTTGGCTATTTGGGGTCCTTTGTGATTCTATATGAATTTTAAGATGGGTTTTTCTATTCCTTCAAGAAATAGCATTGGGGTTTTGACAGGGCTTACACTGAATCTGTGCGTTGTTTTGGATAATACTGCCATCTTAATAATATTAAGTCTGCCAATTCATGAGTACATGATGTCTTTCCATTTATTTATGTCTGCTTTAATTCATTCTAGCAATGTTTTGTAGTTTTCAATGCAGACATCTTTCACCACCTTAATTAAATTTATTCCTAAATATTTTGTTCTTTTTGATGCTATGTAAGTGAAAATGTTTTCTTAATTTTCTTTTCAGATTGTTCATTGTCAATGTATAGATATGTGACTGATTTTTACATGATAATTTTGTATCCTGCAAATTTGCTGAATTTATTTGCTAGCTCTAATAGTTTTTTAATGGAATCTTTAGGGTTAAAATAGTGGCTATTAAATATCAAAATGCCCTATCCTCAAATTTCGTATTTTGAAATTTGTTTCAGTTAAGATAATGCAAGGTCTTAGTCAAGCTATAGAAAAAGATTTAGTTCATCCTCAGGCAACTTTACAAAAAAAGTAAGCCTTCATTACTTGTTATCAAAATAATTATATTTCTAAAATTCTTATCCCCAAGGAGTCTATTTTTAAAATATTTCCAAACTGTCATATTGGAATTTTCAAAATAAAGAGAAAATAATTATGAAATGAAAAATTAAGTTTGGGAAGAAAATAAAAATAATCAATTGTACTCTCCTTTTTGACAAATATTTTATAGTGTTGTTGGTGACATCAAGACAGGCTTGTCTTCTGGTCAAGATGGCAGAATAAACAGTCCCCAGTGTCACTCTCTCCCACAAATCAACCAATTTACAACTATAAAAAAGCAACAACAGCCAAGTTGGGGCTACTAGAGCTTGGAGGAAGAGGAGGAGTGACCTACGGAATGTTTGAAGGTGGAAAAAGCCACAATGAGAGAAAGAAAAAACCACTTTGTTTCAAACCCTGGCTGCTTCCAGGCTGCAGCTGCTGAGCGCACAGAGCAGGAGCTGGCAGAAGCCACAGCTGTGCCCTTGGAATGAAGTTACTTAGAGGCAGCAGGGGAGACGAGGGCCTTCGTGGCCCCCAGGCTAGCAAGACCGCTAATAGGGTTCCTGTGGACCCACATAGGAGCGAGGAGCCACTCAGAGGCCAGTGAGTCATTGCAAGGGACTGGCGCATGGCCTGTCCCATGTGAAGTGTTTGGAGCACAGGTGGTGGGGGAGATGGGCCCACCAGGAGAACACTGCGGCATAGAAAGGACAGCTGATCTGCACCCCAGTCAGCATAGGACCACTCAGAGGAGACTGGTAAGGAACACAGAACTGCATGGGGTGCAGTTTGGTGAAAAGACTCAGGCCCAGACCGGAGTTTCTGTACAACCCAGGTGCACCAGATTTCACTAGATGCAGAAGTACCTATAAAGTCAACCATTAAAACCTGAGCTGTACAAAAAGCCTTCCCTAGGGAATCATCAGCAAAGCAGCAATTTAGCTAAACCACACAGCTCAAGTACTGATCCCCACAGGAAGTTCCCCAATTTTAGAAGTAAGCAAAGGACAAATTAGTTCCAGCACAGTGTTTAATTGGTGGGAACACCAAATAATCCAATACAGAACTGAAAGAAAAAACAAAGTACCTGTAACCAGGGACAAAGTTTGATATTAACTAGTAAATGTCTCATTTCACCAAAGAACACCTATAATACCTAGAAGGACTGGAAATCCCCTGGGCTACCAAGCCAGAAAGTGGGGAGGGCCAGGGTCCTCAGCAATGCCCCCCAACACCTGTAACCAGTCCTGAGGATGGGAGACGAGGGCCTCAGCCACACACCCTCAACACATGCAGCCAGCCTCGTGAAGACCACTGAGCTGCCGCAGGAAGTGCCCCAGGCTCACCCAGGCTGGGTTGGTGGAGGGCCTCAGGCCTCAGCTATGCTCTCCCAATATGTGCAAAGCCCAGCGACGACCACCAAGCCGCAGCAAGAAGGGCCCCGGATTCCCAAGCTGGGGTGGTAGGGGGCGAGGGCTTTTGCCACACACCCCTGACATCTGCACCCAGCCCAGCAATGACCAAGCCACCAATGGTATCTCCCAGGTCTCCCCTGTGGGAATGACGGGGGTGCCATGAGCCTCAATCCTGTACCTCCTACTTCCTCCTCCTTCCATCACATTTCCTTCCCCTTTCCCCCTCTCCCAACTGCTCTGCAACATCCTAAAATGTAAAAAAATAATATTAATAAAATTACATTTTCTTTTTTTTAAAAAAAGCTGAAAATTAAATTTTTCTTTTGAATAAGCTATTCTAGAACAGTTCTCTTTATCTCCAACATATGTAATATTCACCTTCCTTATATTTTAGCAATTTACAGGAAGATTAATTTTGAAAATATTAGTGAGGCCACACCCAACATTCCAATGTATGTATTCAGAAAATGATTTCTAGGGCTGGCCAGATAGCTCAGTTGGTTAGAGCGTAGCCTTATAACACCAAGGTCACAGGTTCAGATTCCTACACTGGCCAGCCACCAATAAAAAAAAGAAAGAAAATGATTTATGGTACATATATGGGACTTCAGACTCATGTTATGCATATTGATGGTGATTATGTAAATGAATTATATCTAGTGCTCAAAAACCTGCTTCCCTTGGCTTTATAAAATCTGAGGACACTGATCTCTAATTTGAGAATACTGACATAAAACTTTCAAAGCATTACCTTCAGAATTACCAGACTAACTTTCATATTTAGGTACCTAAGGATATCTGCTCCTACTCTAAATAATGGATCCCAAAAATTATACTCCGTATAGTTTTTGTCACCATTCTCATCTTTCATTTCAGTTATTGTCTACTAGGTAAAGTTGCCTGAAGCAGCTCTGACTTTGCTATTTATTAAAGTGTAATGGTTTTATGAATAATATTTTCCTCAGTGTTAAGAGGTCCTTATAATTTACCTCTTAGGTTTCTCTAGTGATCTGAATAGTTAGGATTGTTGAAAATCTGACCACAAGATTAAATGGATGTTACTGTACCATAACTGAGAAACACTGGACTACCATAATAAATTTAACGTTCTGAAATAAAGGACTTCCACAGTACCAAACAGAATTATACCTATTTAAATAGAAGACAATGTTACCCAATTTTAATTCAACAGGTTTCTCAGGAGAAATATGCGCGCGCACACACACACACACACACACACACACACAAAAGTATTAAGTCACCCATCTTACCTGAGCACCCACTAGCTGCAGCAATGCTGAGTTCACAGGGAGAAGCTCAATGTCGGTATTGATAGTGGTCTGGTCAAATGGGCAAGCCTTGCGGTGGAGTTTATTCAGGCACATCTTGCAGACAGTATGGCCACAGCCCAAACTGATGGGCTTTCGAATCGTTTCATCAAAAGTCTGAGTGCAAATTGGGCAGGAGAGGAAATCCGTCCATTGTGGAGCTTGTACAGGCATCGCTTCTGGAGTTACAATTCACTAACACACACACGCAAAAATCTAAAGCAAAGATTCCACTGGAATCAAAATCTTTGAAAAAAGTTTATCTTTTTTTTTTTTAAATATCTTCTGTAGATACAGTCAGCACATAGTGTGAAATATAACCTGGAAAACAAAGAAAAAGGAAAAAATTGAGAGTGTATTCCTTTTCAATTAAACTACTATAAAGGAACCACAAGTCCAGTTCATCCTGCAATTTTTTATATCACATTTATATCACAGTAATCCATCTTTTCACACTTTTGCAGAATTAGAGCCATAATAAAACATCTAGTCTCATTCACTCACTTTAGAGATGGGGAGTAGTCTGCAGAAAAATGAAATAAGTTGTCTCAGGTAACACTTGAAGCTAGTAATAAAGTTAGATCAAGGATCTAGGTCTCTCAAGTATACCAAAGTCTCTGATATTTATATGTATATATGTGTATATATTTTAAAATTAACCTTTATTTTTCCCCTTTTTTTTTTGTGGCCAGCCAGTATGGAGATCCGAACCCTTGACCTTTATGTCATCAGCACCAATCTCTAGTAAGTGAGCTAATCAGCCAGCCCAAAATTACCCTTTTTAATTGAGATACTAATATTGTTTCTTGATCTAGGTATCAGTTACATCGGTCTGTTTAATCACAACAATTTTCAATTTCTTCATGTATATGCACTTTTATGTATGTAACACATCAATAAAGAGGTTTTTTATTTTTTAACTTTTATTGTTGGCAACTGGCCAATATAGAGACCTAAACCCTTGACCTTGGTGTTATCAACACCACACTCTTAACCAACTGAGCTTTACCAGCTGGCCAGTCCACCCATTTTTTTTTTTTTTTTTAATTGGCCTAAAATAAAAACTAGCTTGGGGGTAAATGAGATAAAAAGAGACTGTTGGTATTTTTTAAGATTTATTTTTAAGTGTTAGGTATTTTTAAGAGTTTTGTATACTGGTAGATATCTCAAAAAAGCTCCTCATATGGCCTATACTTATTTGCTATAGTGTGTTGTTAGAATAACACAATTAAAATATTTACTTCAAAAATTTTTGTTAATTCCCAAATTTAAGAATGATAGACAATTACAATTAATTAGAACCCACATATAATCAAATTTTACTGTCTACACTCCCTTTTTGGTGGGAGATAAAAGCCAAATCGCAAAACTCATCACCTGTGTCTATCAGAAGTTTTCTTTATAAAACCCAACTTGAAACTTAAAGCACGTATTTTAAATGATATCTACTACACATACTCTGTGGTTTTTAAAAATGAGAATTGGTGCCCAGAATAATGAAATGACACAGTATTACAAATTATTAAAGATTTGATGATGCTCAGTATGTTTACAAAGATGAAAAGAAATCCTGTTTAAGCTGTAATTAAATAGGAAAATAAATTACCTATACATGTTATTCTTCAAGCATTAAATTTAATTCATGTTTTATTGAAATAACTCAACCTTGAATGCAAGGCCATTACTGATGAGAAAACGGTTTCCATGAGATATGTTTAAAAGTTTATCCATTCATTTAATAAATATTTACAAGCACTATTATGTGCCAGACTCTGTTTAAATTGTTGGGGTAATAGTGAAACAGCATAGTCAAAGATTCTGCCTTTGTGTAGTTAAAACAGTCTACTAAACTTCAACTTTGTTTGGGTTTTTGGGAAGTGTGCTACCAGATAATGAAAATGAACATGGAAATGAAAATGGAAAATGAATACAATTTTAATGGCTTAGCAGATAGTTCTCAAATTAATATCATGTTCGGGATCTAAAACTAAAGTTATCTCCATATATGTTCAAATGGCTCTTGCAATAACAAAAAAAGCAAATTAAGAAACTGCTCACATTTTGATTTCTACGAAGAGATTATGAGTAGCTATAAGTAGGTTTATATTAAATTATTACTACTTAATATATTAAGACTGTCACCTGAATGCCAAAAAAGAAAACACAGTATCTAATTACTCTATTCAATTGTATAGTCAAATAAATACAATTGTGCATGGAGTTGCAGCATGCTCTAAAATAACAAACTAAAAAGGTCAGTGTTTAGTTTAGAAGACATAATATTCAGAATGAGAGCTGGATATTAGTAAGAAAATGGTTGAAGCTGATTAAGTTGGTAAAGTATCAGCCATATGAACTTTTCTATAGATTAGCCATGGCAGTCTGTATCAATGCCTTTGAAGATTATGATCCTGTGCTAATCTCTGCAAAGTAGTTAATGGTTCCTTCTTTATGACTAGTATGGCCTTGTAAAGAATTTAGAATTTGTTAATTAATCATAAAGATAAAACACAGTGCTTTATTCCATTAAATAATATACAAACCTGGAAGATGACAAAATACAAATATTTTATTGCACCTCATTATAATTTTTACTATTTATATGGCTATGTGCCATGTACTGTGCTAAATGCCTCACACAGAGCAAACCTATAAAAGTTAGATACTACTGTTAGCCAATTTTACAGATAATTAAAACAAAGGCTTGGAGAGGCTGAGTAAGCTAAAAAGAGACAGAGCTGAGATACTAAGTCAGATATTCTAAAACCTATGCACTTTCCATTGTACCAATTTAACACCAAGTAAACCAAAGAGAAGTAAAATTGTTTCACTCAGTCATGCAGTTTGCTAATGGCAGAACTGGGATTAGAAACCATGTTTCCTGACTCCTAGGTTTAGCGTGCCTTACACCCCAACTAGATTATCTTGCATACAAACTCACTACTGAACCTCTGAAACATTTCGAAAATATCCTTGTCATATTAAAACTGTAATTAACAATATTTGGCCTAGATCAAAGCATCAATTAACCTTGGAAATAATACATAAAACTGTTTATAAATACATACTCATTCTTATGGGAAGAGCTCCATGACTTTTTATCAGATTCTGAAAGCTTTGTTTGGTGAGGATGGGGGGAGGGAGATAAGAATCAGTGACCCAGACATACATAAGATAGCTGTTGAAAACACAAGAGTATTTTTAATAAAAAGCAGAAACAACAATTTACACAAACATGTATTTTCTTTATATTACACTACAATCTCAACAGACTTTTTTTTTTTGTAGCTGTCATGGGGATTTGAACCCTTGACACCTTAGTGTTCTAACCAACTGAGCTAACTTGCCAGCCTCAGACTAACTCTTATATTCATGTGAGTCAAAAAAATTTTTAAATGACTACAGTGGAATATCTCCCTCCTGTCCTATCTCCCATCTCCCTGGTTCTTATTATCACTCCACTTGCACAGATAAACCACTGTGACTTCTTTACTTTTAGTTTCTTTACACATATAGGTTAATATACAAATACTATTAATTGAAAAGAATTTTAAATATTGTTATTCTCATTTCTTCTGCCTCTTTCTTCATCAAACCAGTTTTTCTTAGAAATTATAGCTAGAAACCTCACTCCTTTCATAGTAAAAATTAAACATTTAGTTATATGACAAAAAATGTTTTATTAGTATTTACTAGTGCCACGTACTAGAGATAAAAACTGGTGAACAAGCTAAATCGTTCCAGGTCTACATGGTGCTTACACTGTTTCCTTTACTAGATAAGTAAACAATAATCACACAACTAAATACATGATTGCAAGTTATGGTAAGTGATATAAAGGTAAAGTACAGGAAAGATATAAGCATATATAACACAGGAAACCTAACCAAAATGGGGTAGAGGCATGTAGGGTGTTGCTTCTCTGAGGTAGTGATATTTATGGTAATATCTGAAAGACGATTGCTGAATAAAAGTTATGGGACGGATAATGCATAATGTCTGTGTAGATTCTAGGTAAAAGAAAAGCAAAACACAGGTTCTGAGACTAGATAAAATACAGTACAACTGGGGAGCTAGAAAAAAAGTGAGACAACAGAGAAGCCAAAACCAAACCAAAACAACAAACAGAGCAGACAACAAGAGAGAAAGGTATGAGAATAAAGAATCAGCAAGTTCCAGTCTACAACACTGGTAAAAATTTTTATTTTATTTTATTTTTTCAAAAGATGACCAGTAAGGGGATCTCAACCCTTGACTTGGTGGTGTCAGCACCACACTCTTCCAAGTGAACCAACCGGCCATCCCTACACAGGGATCCGAACCCGTGGCCCTGGTGCCATCAAGTTCCAGTCTACAACACTGGTAAAAATTTTTATTTTATTTTATTTTTTCAAAAGATGACCGGTAAGGGGATCTCAACCCTTGACTTGGTGGTGTCAGCACCACACTCTCCCAAGTGAACCAACTGGCCATCCCTACACAGGGATCCGAACCCGTGGCCCTGGTGCCATTAGCACCACACTCTCCCAAGTGAGCCATGGGCTGGCCCTGGTAAAAAATTTTAAAGAATCAGCAAGTTCCAGTCTATGACACTGTTAAAAAAATTTTTTAAATAAAACATTAAAAAAAAAAGAATCAGCAAGAATCGATAACATTGGACCTTCTACCTCATAGCATAGTATGTCATTATGTGAAGAGTAGTGTGAAAGCCACTGAAAGGGTAAGGGATAACCCACTTCATTGTTTTGAATATTCCGCAATCTATGATGTTACTCTCACCAGTTGTAGTCCACTAAGATCTCCTTCAAGGTCCAACTCGAAAGAGCAATCTAACAACTCTATGTGACTTCTCTCTTTCACTCTTAGGCACTAAAGCACCTTTATGCTGTTACACCATTACACCATCATGCCTACTTTAAGAAAACCTGGTTATGCACCGGCCCGTGGCTCACTCGGGAGAGTGTGGTGCTGATAACACCAAGGCCACGGGTTTGGATCCCTATATAGGGATGGCCGGTTCCTCACTTGGGAGAGCATGGTGCTGACAACACTAAGTCAAGGGTTAAGATCTCCTTACTGGTCATCTTTATAAAAAGAAAGAAAACCTGGTTATGTATAAATTCTAACACAGGCAACAGATTAATTATAATGATTGTTCATATTACAGAAATATAATCTACTTTACCAAGGTATTTATTCTTTTAAAAGACAGACTAAAAATCTTTGTAATTGAAAAAATTGTCCAACAATAGAGGAATGGCTAAACAGGCAGGTACAGCCATACTAT